GTAAAGCTATGTTCAACTTTACTTATTTTCTGTGTGATGAATTAAGATCTGTTTTTTGAAATGATATGTTCTGTACAATGAATGATTGTCCAATTTCTAATATGTACTCGTGATATCCTTAGCATCATGTGATATCTGTTGGCTGTTACCTGGTATCGGAGGTTCCATCATGGAACTTAATCTGTCTGCACTTTGTTACCCGTACCGGAGGCTCCGTAATGGGAGCTCAGCGTATTTATTCTCTGTTACCCGGATCCGGAGGTTCCTTTATGGAACTGGTTATTCGTAACCCTCATGTGTCTGCATTTGTTCCGTATCTGCTCTGTTAATGTTAATGGATGTATCACGTATACTTACGCATGACTTATGATTTCTGTATATGATCTGGGCAAATTATGAATTTGATACGAAACTGAATTATGAATTCTAAATCTATACGGGCTCATTCATTAAAACCCTTTACTCTGTTATTATTTACTGGACGCTAGCTCACTGTATTATTTATATATGTAGGTGATCAGGCGCGTGACCAGGCTTAGAGACATCGCCAACCTATGTGCCTCCCGTGGAGGTTCCGGATATGTCAAGTGATTATTGCTATGTGATTTAACGTTTAAGTTTTGTTTTTGTGTTTGGTTGAACAAGTCTTGTGTATTTTGTAAATAGGGTTAAACCCCTTTTTGTCTAAATCTATATATATATGATGAATTAAAGATAATGTGTATATATGTATGTAAAAAGTTTAAAATTTTTCTGTCTCATATAAGTCTGCACAGCTCAATGGACGTTGTATATTGTTATTTGCTTCTGCTAGCCCCTAATATTATGTTAATTTGTCTCAGAGGCCTTCGGTAATCCCAGGATTACTAGCCGGTTACGATGCTAAACCTATGGGGGCGGGTTTGGATCGTGACAAGTGTTGAGTCGCCGGAAATCGCCCTCGCCGGAAATCGTCCTTGCTGGAAATCGCCTCTGCCTCTCTATCACAAGTGAACAGTGTTGAGAACAAGACTTATATAGTGGATTTTTGGTAATAGCTGGAATATCTGAGGGGCATTTAAGTCATTACACACCTCAAGGATGGGTTGCGCGCTTAAGCTATAATTTGTAAGCATCCCCCGAGCAGCTTCTCCATTTGAGCTGAAAATAGCTTTTTTGAAGCTATAATCTGATAGTTTAAGTTGTACCAAACACAACATTATAGCTTAAATTAAGTCAAAAGCTAAAATAAGTAGCTCATAAGTTTTACCAAACATGCCCTATGTTAGTAATTTTTTAACTTTTTATTAAAAAAAGTGTTTAAAAAAAAAAGCAAAGAAAATGATTTAATAATTTATAATAACTTTTTAATTTTTTAACTAACATTAATGTCCAAACCAAGCCTACGGATTCAAATTGGAAGATGTTATTGATATGACTTTCGTTTTTTCCTTTTTTTTTTTTTTTTTTTTGTAATTAGGATGCAATATTTTAAATAAAGAAGTCAATTACATAACTCTAGGGTAGCGCACACCCAAGCATCATCAAGGCTTCTCATGAGAAGTTATATATATATATATAAAAGTAATAAATTGATCTAAATAAATTAACAAGTTGATTTTTTTCTTTTCTTTTTTAAGATTCTCAAAACAAGCCTTAATTACAAAAGCAAGGAGGTGGTTGCTGAAAAATATGAATTTCTTCATTTGTTGGAGCTTCTTGATTTGTTAGTAGGTCAGCACGCGAGTGTTTGCCTATCTTCAAACACGGTTAATTTCCTTCACTCCCAGTTGAGCCAAAAAGGATCTGCAATCAACAATGAAGTTGTAGAATTGATAAAAGTCATTTTCATTGCTAAGAATGAGATGTTTTAGCATTAATGCATCACTTTTCATTTCCAAGTTCTTGATATTAAGGTCAAGGGCTAGTTTCAAGCCATCCCTCATTGCCCACAATTCAGCAGCTGCACTAGTTGTTTGGAGAGTGATTTATTAGTTAAAATAGTCAAAAAAATAAATTAAGTTATCACATCACTCCCTCTCTTTTAGATATATTTTCGTAAAAAGTTCAATAATTAACTAAAATAGTTAATTTTCAAATGAGCTTATTTATTAGCGTTGTGACTGGCACACATATTGCGTATCTAATTTAAGTAAAAATAAAAATTAATAAAAAAATAATATTAAAATATTTGTACTGCTCAAGTAGTAAGTTAATTTTTTTTTTTTTTTTTTGGTTAGACTAAAGGTCTTAATTTTGAGTCTTGTGCACCTCTCTATATGGCTTTATTTTATTTTTTTTAAGTAAGGTTGTTAAAATTGGGATCCTATGTTGGATCGTTGGGGGTGTTTATAGGATCAGATCGTAGAATCGGATCGAGGATCGTAAGATCCTACCGAAAAAGACAAATTATATAATAATTTAATTTAAATAAACATGTCCTAATTAATAAGAAGTGAAGATATTGTGAAAAATATAATACTCCATGCAAAATGTACATGTGGGAACATAATTTTTGAATGACAACATGTGGCCGAGGTGTCACCGAAGTGCCAACCGAGGAGCCACGTGTGCTGGTCATGACGCCAAGATCATCTCGGCTAGGCTGAGGTTATCTGTGAAGATACCGGAATCCGAGATAAGCGGATAAGGGACAAGAGTCCTAGAATGAGAGAGGACTTCAATTTGGATAAAGATAAGACTCTTAAAGAGTTTATCCTAATCCTACTGGGAGTCAAGATTAGTAATAATCCTAAGTCCATTGAAGTTAGGCTTCTATTTGGACTAGGTTTGTGTTGGCTATAAAAGAGAAGCACCCTCATGGGTCTAAGGTATGATTTTTATGTTCTGAATAGTGAGTCAAGTACTTTTGCTATCTTTGAGAGATAACTAACTTGATCGTCGGAGTGTCCCCAGGTGGACGAACCACCGCTGGAATCTCTTCTTTTTGTGACAGGCCGTTCGGGCTTAATCTATTATGCCAGTGTTCTCCAGCTGAGTGCTTGATTGGCAGTGTGGTCGAAAATTGACACACACAATTTGACGGCGTCTGTGGGAAAGAAAAGAGAATAGATAACCAACGACGGACAAAAAGAGAAGGTTGGGGACGACACCCCTACTGGGAGCGAGAAACACATTGACCTTGACGTCGAAGAAGACAACTGCAATAAAGAGACTCGTGATAAAAATCACGGAGAAAAGGACGTCGGCCAGGAGGGCGGCGTACCGAAGAAATCAGATCGGACCGGGTATTATAACGAGGACGACCTCCAGGTATGGAAAGATAGATGCCTGCGGAAGGACGACGAGATGAATGGAATGACGAAAAAATTGGTGGACCTGTAAACGCTCGTCAATTTCATGATGCAGAACAACATCATGCAACCACCGTTCCCGCTACAAGATAAGCCGATTCCAGCGGCCAAGAAAGGTGCCCAGAAAGGGGGGCAGAAAACGATTCCTGCAATCCCTCAGCATGGCGAGACCAAGAGACGTTCTCACTGGCCTTCACAGAAGGTCGGGCATGGAGAATCCCAGAAGACACGTTGAACAAAAGAAACCTGCACCAAAGAATATCGGAATGTTCAGGGAAACGAACTTTGTTTCGACACGACCAATGGAGGGAGGTCCAAAAGGAATCACAAAGACACTGGAAGTAGTGCACCAAAGAGGGCTGGAGAATGATGCTTGGGAGTTGGAATTTGTAAGCTAAGGTTGGTTTAACACTTGTTCAAATTTTAAGAAAAATTTACAAAGGTTATGTTTAACACTTGTTGAAATTTTAAAAATTTACAAGTTGAAGTTAAACCGATGACATGTTTAACACTTGTTGAAATTTTAGAAAAATTTACAAGTTGAAGTTAAACCGATGACATGTTTAACACTTGTTGAAATTTTAAGGAAAATTTTTAAGTTGAAGTTAAACCGATGTCATGTTTAACACTTGTTAAAATTTTAAAAATTTATAAGTTGAAATTAAACCGAGGTCATGTTTAACACTTGTTGAAATTTTAGGAAAAATTTACAAGTTGAAGTTAAACCGATGTCATGTTTAACACTTGTTGAAATTTTAAAAATTTACAAGTTGAAATTAAATCGAGGACATGTTTAACACTTGTTAAAATTTAAAAAAAAAAAAATTACAAGCTGAAGTTAAACCGGGGTCATGATTAAAAGAATGAATGATATAAGTTCCATCACCTCAGGATGTCGAGGTAATAGAACCTAGGGGGCAGTTGTGGGGATATAATTTTTGAATGACAACATGTGGCCGAGGTGTCACCGAAGTGCCAACCGAGGTGCCACGTGTCCTGGTCATGACGCCGAGATCATCTCGGCTAGGCCGAGGTTATCTGCGAAGATAGCAAAATTCGGGATAAGCGGATAAGGGACAAGAGTCCTAGAATGAGAGACGGCTTCAATTTGGGTAAAGATAAGACTCTTAAAGAGTTTATCCCAATCCTACTGGGAGTCCAAGATTAGCAATAATCCTAAGTCCATTGAAGCTAGACTTCTATTGGGACTAGGTTTGTGTTGGCTATAAAAGAGAGACACCCCCAAGGGTCTAAGGTATGCTTTTTATGTTTTGAATAGTGAGTTAAGCACTTTTGCTATCTTTGAGAGATAACTTAGTTGATCGTCGGAGTGCCCCCGGGTGGACGAACCACCGCTGGAATCTCTTCTTTTTGTGACAGGTCGTTCGGGCTTAATCTATTATGCCAGGCTTAATCTATTATGCCAGTGTTCTCCAGCTAAGTGCTTGATTGGTAATGTAGTCGGAAAATTGACACACATAGTACATATAATATTATACAATAGAAAACTCGATGTTAAAAATTTTGTATGTCCGTAGACAATACCCGTTACATTAAAATTTGGAATAGCCATTAGACAATCTAGGTTGTAGCTTACTTCAAAACGCCACATACTTGCTCATGCATTTTAGGTGAGCTGATACTGAATCATAGGTACGTCAATGTGGGGAGTTAGCCATCTTTGACATATATTATTAATAGTCATTTTGTGGTAGCCTTGTTTCTGAATTAATTTTGCAATTGTTCTGACCTTTCATATTTTTCCGAGTCAACAACATCAGCTAAGAGATGAACTTCGGAAGGAGGCTTTGCAGCTTACGAGTAAGTTCTTTTGTTCACTAAATTACTATAAATCTACGACATATGTACACATGCACACATAATTGCATCTCATACACTGTTAAAATCATATAACGTGACATATTCTAAATAATCTCTTTATGTAGGGGAAAATTTGGAGAAAGAACCACAAATAATGGAACTGCGTAATCAGGTGAACTGTTTAAGCTGTGTTCAGATTCTTTTGACCCTGAAGCTAATATTGGAATACCCGATAATTGTTTTTCTCCGCTGTTTTTTATTCTGCAGTGCAAAATCATTCGGACAACTGAATTGGCTGCTGCTCAAGAGAAGCTAAGCGAGATAGAGAGGGAAAAAGAAGAGACCCTGAAATATTACGCTCCAACATCCCTGCTTCATAGGCTTCAAGGTAAAATTATCGTTATATTCATTATTGAGAGAGGTTGAGAGCTTCCTGTTACATGGCTGATATAAAAGATTTGTTTGCTGTTTGCAGAGGCAATGAACAAGACAGATGATGAATCTGAGGCCCTGCACAGGCAGCTTCTGGATAAGGAGATTGATGTAGGAGCTTTTGTGCAGAAGTACAAGAAGCTTCGTAACACTTACCACAGGCGTGCTTTAACCCATCTCGCGGCCAAGACATCAGTAACTGGATGAGCACGGAGCGATAGTCTTGTCATTTTAGTCTGTCAATCATCAAGCTGGTTTGGCTGTATTTTGGGCACTTTTTACTGCCTCGCGTCCTCTCTCTCTCTCTCTCTCTCTCTCTCGCTCTCTCTCTCACACAAGCACGCACACACACTTTTTCCCTTGGGCACTGTGATGAGATAATTTCACGAACAGCGGCAATTAATTAATTCAACAGTAAAATGTAGTCTGAAGGGCATATTCTTAGCTTAGATGTAAAACCAAAATCCAGAGACCATAGGCCAATTATTCTTTCAAGATCTCGTCTGTGTAAAACTCTAACAATGATGGCTTTTCTTTTTTGATTGTTATATATATGATATTGGGTTGAATTGTTACTTCTGTAATTGTCTTTAGTTTTGATTTGGATGAATAAATGTATTTATCTTCATGAACAATTCACAACGAAACAGGCATTTTTTTTTTTAATGTTTTCAATAGAAAATAAATGTTAAAATCATTCCAAAGTAGCAGAACTGCATTTTTACATCTCTCATAACACAACTATTTTGAATGTCACAAAACTGAGTACATCCAACATGGCAGAATAAACAATTCATATTCATCAAAATGGGACTTATGGTGAGTTCAACCCAACAACTAAAATCCTAGGTAATATCCTTCTTTCACATTCAAATCAGTTGCAAACGACGGTAGTAATGGGTTCAATGATAGTTACAACATAATTTAACATGAATATGTTTGTATGTGTAGAAATTTTGGAAAAGAAACGGTGAAAACAATATGAAATTGTTAAATAAACAATAGGATTTAAATTATTCAGTTACATTCCAGCAATATATATATATATATATATATATAATACAGTGAAATACAAATGTTCTATTCCATCTATGACTACAACATTTTCCATGCTGAGGGCCAGAACACAAGAGACTAACACAAATAGAACAACCAGAAGGGAACATCTGAGATGTGTCATTGTTCTTAGGAGTCTACTTTTTTCTCATTCAACCGAGCTAGTTCCTTCTCCCACTTCAGTCCAAACATCTGGCGACCAAAAGGTACGATCAGGTTGTACTTGAAAATCTGCATTTAAACATCAATATTTACAAGAAAATAAATACATATATATATATATAGTAGAGGTTTGAACTCTACCTTATTATTGATGCTACGCAACTGCAATTTCAGAGCCTCTGAAGACTCGATCCATTTCGAGTTGTTTTCGTTCTCTCTATGTGCTGATGCTCTCTGCAGGGCTAATCGCCATCCAGCAATATCATTCCTGATCTCTTTATTCAGCTCAACCCACTCTGGTGCACATTTATTCCTTGAAAGAATTCTGTACAAGGTATCTTCAGCTGGGTCAGCATGAGGATTAGTATTGAGGTCAAGGGGTTTGCCTTTCCCGGTAAATTCTCAAACTGCCCTTCTTCCATGGAATGCCATATTCTTTGCTCAACAATAATTGTGATATCAGTTTCAGACCTGTCCAAATGAAAAAAAGCCAAGATTAATGATCAGAGAGAGAGAGATTTTGCCGATGAGACACAGAACAAACCAATGTCCAAACTACCAAATGACAACTAGTTCTAATAAGAACACATATTGCAGAGTTATCAAAAAAAAAAAATCAAAAGTATCTCAGGTCAATGAGCTCAACTAAGGATATAATTAGGGTTTACGACATGCTTGGGGGAAACAAAGGAGTCCGATCATATCAATATTTACGACTGGAAGTCCAACTCAGCACAATTACCTAAGGGGCTAGGTCCTGCACAAGGAAGCAATAGCACCGGTAAAGAATGGTAAAGAATTCCCCAGAATCATTAGAGAATAAAGCATCAACAAAGAGAAGAAGAACGTGGCAATCAAACATTAATCATCCAGTAAGCCTGCATCTTCCATGAGTGATTTTTGTTGCCTTTCCAACACTCTTAAGATTGCAGATCAAGCATTTCCTTTAGGTAATTTCATTGTCAGATACCTATGCCTCAAATGTCCAACAACGAATTTGTTTATCATCTAGAGGTTGACAAACTATTCTACTGGCAACTACACTGCTATAAGCCAGGGTTTAATTCTTTTTTTCCGATTCAAATTCTAAACATAAAATATAGCATCCATAATCTATCATAAATCGTGTTTTGTCTTCCTGGCCAATTTAAGAATGTGCTTCTATCATAATTCAAGCTATCAGACTTTGAATCCTTTGAGACATACCCAATATTCTCTTTAAATTGGCTCAGCACAAGACGGACACAGAACAGCAGTATATGAAAAAAAAAAATCATAGGATGCAGATATCAAGTACAAAGATTCCATACTATCAAGACACCCTTAATCATCAACTTATATGACATACATTTAACCTCATTTCCAAGGATATGGAATATTCTAATTTCTAAATATGAATTAATGAGGAAAACATAAATTTCAACTCTCCAACCATCATCAATCAACATGAGAATCAAATCAAATTCACACCAGTTTTCGGTCCATTCTTTCTCTAATACCTCTTGATGCCAAACAACTTTATTTTGATCATGGACCATATGGTAACAACCAAGCTCTTATTTTCATCTGTAATAACTCCCAAGTTCTTGCTTTTCCTATAACTCCCTGGCTTTTCTTTCCTTAACAATCATCTCAAGTGTATTCCAAACCCTCCCCAAATCCATGAAGAGCTTTAAAAAAAATTCAATCTTTCCTAAACATGTCTTAACACATAACCTAAAAAAATAAATAAATAATTATGGGAAAACATACAGCACAACAGGATGAGTGAATTATTAATATTTTTACAAAATTGTTGCTGAGATGAGAACGTGAGGGGAAAAGAACTGAAAAATTACTCTTTCGCTTCAAATATTTTTTTTCCCGACTGTTTTCCGAGTAACCAAATGGGAGGTAATTGACATACCTGACGGCGTTACGTTGGCCACGAAGGTCCGGACGGAGTTTACGGTTGTAACGGCGTCGATAATGCGGGAGAGACGATCGGTGAACTTCTTATTGGGCTTCGGAGAGGCCTCCGACGAAGACGAGGCCCACCTGATCTTGGATACGCAACCACGGCCCACAATTCCAATCAGAGACGATGCTGAGTCAGCAGCCCTCGCGACCCTAGTTGCCATGGCTCAAACCAGAGGGAGATAGAGAGAGAAAGTGAGAGAGTTGTCTATCTAGAACTTCAACTTGGGCCTTAGGATTTTGGGCCTAGTTTTGTTTTGTTTTGTTTCCATCAATTACGGCGTTTGTTTTGAAGTGGCACATTTCAAAACCATGAACCACGGCCCAATCGTTAAAATCGACCGCCCTGACTCATTTCATCCATTTTTAAGCTTTTAATAGTATAGGCGGATGGATGCCAATATTTGAATGGACGAGAGATTACCTGATATAACTCGATATGTCAGTTCTCTTAATAAATGATAGTATGAGATTGTTTGAGATATTCTAAATAAGTATATTTTTTAATTTTTTAAATTAAAAAATTAAGGAGAAAAAATTTGTTGTTGGGGATAACTTTTTGACTTTTTATAAAAAAATTATATAAATTAGTATATAGGAGAAGATTGGGATGAAATAGACGGTACGGTGGGATAATTCAGGACAGTGTGTGCCTGGGATGTGATTCCCTGCTTTTCGGGCATTGAATTGGAAGTGTTGTTTGGCCCGTGGGAGCCCACCACGGGTCCCGTTTTGCTAATCAAAACCGTTTAATGTGTAAAACTCATCGAATACAATATGTTTGTAAAAAATCACGTTGATTGTATATCGATAGCTATCTGATCGAATTAGTTTTTCTTTCAACTGTTAACTATAACACCATCCATTTTATAAATTTTAACTAATTTGATCATGTAGTTACCGATATCCGATCGTGATTTTTTACAATCATATAGTACTCGACAAGTTCTACATATTGAACGGTTTAGATTATTAAAACAGGATCCGTGATAGGCCCATTTGGACCGAACAGTACCGTGTTATTTGTGTACCTAAATAGGTGTAATTTTTCCAAAAAAGGTAGCTCCGCCCGTGGGACAGTAAAGTTGTCTGAAATGTAATTATGTGTTAAATTAATTTTTTAATATTTTTTTTGGGTAAATATTGATATTTTTTTAACTTTTTTGAGTAATTTTTTGACTTTTTGTCTTTTTAAGATATGCCAAACCAGGCCTCTATATTTTTATACTTTATATGTTAAAAAACACAATATTTTATTTAGTAACAATATTGATTATTTATGAAATAGAAAAGTTTAGCCTTTATTTTAATTATTAAAATAAATAAATAAATAAATAATTTTAGACTCAAATAAGCCTAAAATAATAAAAAATTATTATAAAAAAAACATAAAACAGTAAAATCTAAACCGTCATATTATTTCGCATTTACTCGACAACTCACACGATCCGTTCAATCTATATCTGCTAACTAAACGGATGTAGATAGATACAAATTAATTTTTTTAATCTGTTCAAATAGGTGACAGATAAGAGCTCAGCATTCCCAACTCGAGGCGCAAGGACCCTACAGTGAACTGATAAGGTACGAGGCCTTATATGAGCCCAGCTCTGATTGGGCCGAGCATGTATTAGTGGGGCGGTTTTGCGGACTGAAACATTAGATTAACTTGGGCAAGGCAGTATTACGTTTGCTAAATCCAAATGCATGTAATACTAGGATTAAGGGGAAAACAGGTTTTCCTATTTTGTATTCACCCAAAAACGTTTCCTATTTTGTATTACTTTTTCATTATAAATACATGTAAGACTCTGGGAATTTATTCAATCAACGAGCAGAAATGTGCTTTATTCAATCATCAAGGAGAAAAAAATATTTTAATTTTGATTTCCAATCACAACTTTGAAGAAATTCACCAAGAAGTAAGTATTCTTGCTTTTATTTTTATTTGTAAAATACTAGAAATCATGCATAATCATTAGTATTTAATCTGGCACAGACCCTAAATGCTTGCTTATTTATGTTTTCGATTGTTTATTTACCTTTTGCATAATTTTGAATGTGTACATGAATTTATTGCTTTACTTGAAGCAATTTATTATTGATCGGTAGAGTTACAGCCATATTTTTTGGGCACAGGCGAACCCCTCTCCAATCCATGATTTAATTTCTTAAAGGGTTGTTACTATTCGGTTGAGTTTTGAGAACTTGTTTTGTGAAATTAAACAACAAAAAAATAAATTAATTTGATAAAAATAAACACCAAAAAAAGATAGAGCTAATTTTTAAAAATTATTTTCATCCAAAAATAAAATATTATAAAATTCATGTTTCTTTTTCACTATATAAATTAGGGGTGGGCGCGTGTCGGTTGCGGCCACGAAACTTCTAATCCGCCATCCGT